CCAAAAAAATGTTTGAAAAATGATATTCACAATATTCAATAACAATGTTAGGCCATAAACAAATGTACAATGTACAATAATAACACCCATATAAAAAGAAACAAAATAAAAAAAATTGATTTATATACAAAAAGAACCTGTCCAACTTGATTGATTTCCTAATAATCGATCGATTGATTATATCTCTTATCATCGATAATCAAACCTGCCACATCACCGATCTTTTTTTTCTTTTTTTTGTTGATTTTTTTCGATTCCAAAATTCTCTTAATCATAATCATAACACTTGAGATTAATTGCATATCCATAAGTATTATACTTTATTTTTCGAAGAAAAAAGGTTCTTTTTTAAAAAAATTTATTTGGTTTGTTGATTTTTGACTATAATCAATTTGGAATCGATTAAAAAACATAAGATAAGGTGTAAAAAAAATTTGGTTTTTTATTTAATAAAATTTAAAATTTTCAATTTTTTCAAAGAGATTTTTTCTCAGAAAACCATACTAAAAATTGGGTAATATTTTCTTTGTTTTCACGAAGATCGTTAGCAGTTTTTGGTAAAATATTTTCGATTGTTAACTCTACAAGTTTGTCATGCATATCATTAAGTTCATATTTGATAATCAATGGAAGATAAATGGATAAAGTATGTTCATTGAGATTGCTTCGTATGAATGTTCGACAATGTTTCATCAATCGTTCATCATCATAACAATTTGCCAAATCAATAAGTTCGACTATATTGGATTGTTTGATTCGGATATGACCAGTATGTAACATACGTAGATATGTGTAATAGGAATCATAACTATAATCCTTGATGAACACTTTAGTATTTTCCATCCATTCACCTGAAAACATTCTACTAAAATATTTTAATGACATTTTCAGATAACACTTTGAAGCCAATATTCGTTTGTCACCAATAATAAATTCTACATCATAATTATCCGGATTATCAAATAATCCAATAAATGATAGCCAATTATGCGATTCGTACACATAGATGGTTGATGTTATACCATAAGTGATTGATGATTCCGCTACCATTGCTGATGCAGCAGCGAATGATTTCGGTTTATCATCCAATTTTTGGGGTGATAACAATGTTTCTCCTCTTACTTCACCCCATACATAATAATGTAAGGATTGATCCATAACCAGTGAAAAATTCAGATGATAATAACAAGCTACACTTAGCACATTTTCAATTGGTAATTTTGTTGGTATTTTTACATCTTGATTATTATCATCAATAGTGCCTTGACCATAACCACACCAAAAAATCAGACCATCCTCCAATAAAAATAAAGAATGCCATCGACCACCGACAATATTTTTGATTGGACTATTAATCGAAACATCGGGAAATGAAACAAGTGAAGGTGTATTAATTCGGTTATTTGTATCCCCTTGACCTAACTGTCCATACTTATTATAGCCCCAGGAATAAATTTGATTCGTATTGGTGAGAGCAAGACTATGCCACGAGCCACAAGCTATTATTTTGATATAATTCAAACCAGTGTTCACGACAGTATCATACGATGACTCTGAATTACCGGTCAATTGACCAAATTCATTATCACCCAAAGCAAAAACAGTGCCATCTTGTCGTAACAACAACAAATAAAACTGTCCACATGCTATCATTTCAAAACGATCATTACCGGTTGAGATCAA